TTAGATTTTGGGTTTGTTTTTTTAATAGATATGAATTTGAGTTTTTTTTAAGGCCCATTAAAGATTTTTATAATTATTAATTTTGAAATTTATAAAATTAATTGAGACACGGGTAAATTAATTTGAATATTTAAATTAATAGCAAATAAAAAAAGGAGTTATAGAGATGCTAAAGATAAATTGAAATGCTTATTTCATCCGATTCCACCCAGGAAAATTGAAAAGCAGCCGTTTTGCTTTGTATAACTTTTCTTCTCCTCTTCTAAACCGATCAATGAAAAACGTCTTGAAATTCGTCATCGTTTTGTTTCTTTTGTGCAAAAGAAAATATGCTATTCCAGTCTTATCTAGTCACGAGGGCTGTCAATTGTTGATTATCATCCATGTCTTGAGGGAAAAAATAATCAGTGAAAAAATAAAAAATGTACTATAATAAATATATTTTAATCCCTGTATTTCTTAAAAAATTTACTCTGGTCCTTGTATTTTATTTTTACTATTTTCCCCTGAGAAAAAACTCGTGTTGTGTGAGTATGTCTTCAATTAATAGATATCATAAATTTAACGGTGATTTTGTGAAGAATCTTCTGCTGATATTACATCAGTCATGTTTTTGAATTCAATCATAGTATTCAATTAATAAATAAATTAAATTTATATTTTAAAAAAATATATATAATTTTATTCATTTTAATTTCTATATCGCCCTCGCTGTCTTCTTTTTAATCACTTACATGTCTCTGACAAAAAATAGAGGTAAACATCATAGTATTTGGCGTGGTAAACAAATAATTAAATTTTGATTTATTTTTGTATTAATTTTAGATGTTGAATTGTATTTAAAATTAAATTATGAGCTTCTAAAATTATATGATTTTAACGTGAGATTCAATTAAAATTTCTAAATTCATAGAATTTCAAACATGCATGACGTGTGTAAAGGCAGAGAAAACAACCCCTGTGCTTAATGCTTATCATTACACTCCTTAACTAGCTCCCCTTGCTCGATCGCTAATGGCAGAGATCATATAAATTACTGTTACTAGAGCAGCTAACTTTAGACACGTTTGCTTTTATATTAAAAAAAATTAAAAAATTGTTTTAAATTAATATTTTTTATATTTTTAAATAATTTTAATATGTCAAAAATCATTTTTAAAAAATAATTGTACCCCCTCTCACCTAACCTCGTGTAGAGATTTTCAGCGTAAAATCAGTGGTCGATTGCCATTAATCATTGCGTTTGGTTCCACGGTGCAGGGCACCAAAATAAATGGTAGACCGCAACATGACAGGGAACGAGGTGAAAATTTGAAAGCACTGTCTGTAAAGGTTAAGACATGATTTGCGTTCGTTACCTAAACCTTGATCTACACACGCTTTTCTTAACCTCGGGGTGAAAAGCCACCGAAGTTTCTGATGCTCCTTGGCCGAGGTTGATAATTAAAATGACGTGATAAAAGGTCCCATGGAATTCCGAAACATGGAAGAAGCTCAATCGTCCCTGGCCCGGTGACGGGTTGAATATATCGCTAAGAAGATGAGTATATGACAAGAAATGATTGAAAGGTTTAGTCATGATCACCTTGAATTTTAAGGAGCTTGTTATAATGATAGCATCTGCTTTTTATTTGATTACTGATTAAAGATTGTCTTCCAGGATATTTTTAGTTTATGAATAAAAATATATAAAAATTAATTTTAAATAAAAAAATTAAATTTCAATAGTATTTACCAAATGCCCAAGTATGGTTGCTGTCTTTTGCACCGGGGCTTGCATTTAATGTGTTTTAAAATTTATGTTTTTTAGTCAAAAAATATTTATTTTTATTTTATATATAAAAATTCATCTTATAATAATTTAAATCATTTATAAATTTCTTAAAACTATAATTAAAATATTTTTAAAACTTATTTTTTAGAATTACCACCGAAAACATTGGGGATGTGATTGAATTTGTCATCACTCGGTGTTTCGAGCAAGATAAGAAGGTTATTATTGAATTGGGCGAGGTGTCTTCGTATTATAATATAGTTGTGAGTATTTTTTAAATAATTTTTTATATTAAAATATATATTAATAATTTTTTATTTTTTAAAAATTATTTTTGATATTAATATATCAAAATAATTTTAAAAAATAAAATGTTTTATTTTTTAAAATATTTTTAAAACATTTAAATAAACAGTAAACTTGCCATCCGGGATATCTAGCCGCGCTATCATCAGCACATTTGTGGCCGAAATTAATAATGTGCTCGAGAGCTATTACATGATACAGTGTTGGGATATTTGCATGTGTTAGCGTGTTTTTATTTATAAAAATGTTTTTATAATTAAAAATATATTAAAATAATATTTTTTAATTTTTTAATATATATATATATATAGTTGTAGAAACAAACACAAGTTAGTTCAGGTGGGGATATAATTGCACTTGCGTGACGTGCAGTTGCCACTCTTGTTGGATTTGTTTTTAAATAACACATATTCAAGAAAGTTAATAGAAAATGACATGGTTTTGAAAATTTTTGGGCAAAGAATCACCGTTAAAAATCATGATTGTTAAATAATAATAATTTAAATAAAAATTATAAGTCAAAATTGCAGTTTTAATACAATTGTTCTTCTCATTGGTGGTTTTTTAATAATTACAATTTATAATAACAGTTTTATAACAAGATCTTGATTCTGAGTTGTGTCTACGGTGCATTTATAAACACTCTTTTTTTTTTTTATGGCCTCTACTTATAAAATAAAATAAAAAAACTCTAGAAATCAGGGAAAAAAATCCAAAAAAAAAACAGCTTTCAATCCCTCAAAATAATCTCTTGTCAAAATATCAGAATCATCCATGTATTATTGCTAAAAATATTTTTACCACTTTTATATCGTAGGCTATTGGCCTATGTTTTAGTGTCTAACATTTCCTCCACCGCAACTAGTAAAATTACCACTTGCACATCATAAAAACATGACAATATATTAGTATTGCTTGTTTGTTTGATGGTGCAGTGCAATAGTTTAATTTAAAGCAATGCATCTTGTTTAACACGAATACAAACATTTAATTATATTTGATCAATTGTTAGGTAAACACTCTACTTATAATTAAATAATTTATCATTTTCAATATGTATAGATATGAGATACACGAATAAATTTTATTTATAAAGAGACATGTCATGTAATTTACAAGAAAAAATACGTTGGAGTATAACACATTGAATCATCATAATTAACCCAGCACAAGTTCCTTAATACGAGGAGGTGGAATATGAGCCACATACATGTTGGAATTAAAATATTATAAGTATTTGTTATTTTTTATAGATCTTGACAAAAAAACATTGTACCTATTTTATTAATCAATAATTTTTATTTATTTTTTGTTGGTTTTGACAATTGTTACTTGATAGTAGATATGTTGCGGTTAATCTTTATGATTTGGGTGATGATGATGGATTTACTTGTTATTGTGCATATTCTTAGTTCAAGATATGTTGTATAATTTTTTGACTTGTCAGGAGAGATATTAAGCCTATATAATACTGTCTTTGACAAGGAGACCACGCACATCGGTAAAAATTATACTATTGATGAAGTTTTATCATTGCAAAAGATATGAATAGATCCAAATGTATTATTATACTATGTTATTTTTTAGTTTGTGATTATCTTTATTACTACTATTTTTGTAATATTGTTTTGTTAATTGTCATGTTAATTTTAAAATTATCTTGCATATTATATATTTTTATTTTTTAATATTGTTAATTAACAAATAACCATGTAAACAAGTTGTTTAGAATTTTAAATCATCTATTAACAGTTATAAAAATATATATGGATAAAAACAATGTTTTAAAAACATAGACAATAACCAGGGATCATAATTAACAAATAAAAATGATGTTAAAATAACTTTTGTTTTAATTATAGACTCGAGGTTTGATAATTTATGATTTATTTTAGCTTTTAGTTGTGACGGTGCAAACTTTGTGATTTTATTTAGATTTTGGTCACAATGGTTTAAACTTTATTTTATCTAAAAATCCAGAGTAAATTATGCTGCTTGACACTATTACTATTAACGATAATAATTAATTAATAATTATAAACATCCATTATTATTATTAACTATTGCTAATAACCCTTATCAATAATAACAAGTGTCTACAACAGTTATATAATTAATTATTATTAATAAAACTATATTATCTGAACTAAGTTAAAAATATATTATTTTTAAAGTATTTTTTATTATATTATTTTTAAAAATATTTTATATTCATTTTAGAGCTTGTTTATAAGTATAGTTGCTATTATTTTTTTAATAATTTTTCATACTAAAATACATGTCAATAATATTTTTTTATTTTTTTAAATTATTTTTAATATTAGAATAATAATATTAAAAACATATTAATTTAAAATAAATAAAAAATAATTTTTTAAATCTTTTTAAAAAAATTTTAAAACAAAAAAATAAACAGTACCTTCCAATGAATGCCCACTTCGTCTGTTGCAAAAATTGCCCTCCGCACCTGTCACCTATTCCTTGAGAGGAGACACTTGAGCCCACATGCTATCTCTGCAAGGCCCAGACAGTTTATATCATCTTGCAAATAACTGGGACCATCCTAAAGATTTTGGTGTCATTTCACCTTTTCTGCTTCATAGGCAAATGAGAACCCTAGACAGTTGATAAAAAAGTAAAGGCTCTTTGTTTTAAGTTTTCAACTTGCACAGAGAAATTACTGAAAAGCTGCAACGTTGATAGCATAATTTACTCTAATCTCCATTTTATTAGTCTAGCCAAGCCAGCGTAGAAGCGGGTTCTGTCTCCACCTGAGAAATAGGCTTTACCAGCAGATTAGAACAGAACATAAATTACTTGCAGCCATTCCTGCAAGAATCTTTATCCCAAGACAAAATATAAAAAGAAAAGAAAAGAAAAAAAATCAAACCAAAACAAGGAAAAGAAAGAAATCTCAGCATTTTTTTGGATAAGCTCTCCCACACTTAAAAAATTAACCTCTTGCAATGAATTTTTTCTTTTCGCCCCCCAGAGTAATTAGAAAGCAAGGTAGGAATGTGAGTGACCGAGAGGCTCTCTACCCTAGAGAACTAAAGAGAAAGAAGGGAGAGTAACATTTTCTCTTCCTCCCATATAACCATTCTCCATGTCTATCTCTGTCACAGCCACCACGCCCCTCCTCCCTGTTCTTCCTTCCTTCGTTGTTGGCACAATTGAAAAGACAAACCAGAGAGCCCTGCCGAGGAAGTGACAGTTTTATTTATGCCATGTCATTATTGTAATCTTGTTTCATGATATAAGCTACTGCAAACACATCACATTTTCCCAAAATCTAAAGGTTCCTAAGTGTCTTTTGGTTGTTCTTCAAGAAACACACATCCACCCATTCTTTGAAGAATCTTCTTCTACAGAGAAGCACGAGGTTAAACAACGAAGACCTAATAACCTAAGCCATTTTAATTGCTACTTCGATGAAGCTTCCCAGTATCTACATTCTCTCAATTTGCCTCTTTACTTCTCTCACTCGATTCATCATTGAAACTACTGCCTTCAATCTCACCCTTCCACACCAACATCCAGACCCTGAGGCTGTTGCTGAAGATGTAAAACGGTGAGGCCTTTACAGCCTTCCGCTACAATTCGCTAGAAACCCATCTTGTGTTAGCTCATTTTCTGGTTTTGCATCGTGGTTTTTTTGTAGTTTCCAACTTCAAGCCTATTAGCTAGAGAAAAATGCTAACTTGGGTTTTGCTTCTGGTGTTTATGGTAGTTTCTGTTTTCCTGATTTTGAACAATTCTTACCTGGGCTGTTCTCATTGCTAGGAGGATCTCTCTTTTGCAGTGATTTTGAGCTGGAAATGGAAAATAAAACCACATTTTCTTGATTTGCCATATTTTCTCAGCAACCAAACAGGGGACAGTCAAACAAAACCCCGTATGGGTTCTGTTCATTGAAGGCTTCTGTCTCACGGGTGCCTCTCATTTTCAACTCTTTACCGATCTACAACACCAAAACAAAACAAAGTTGTCATTTTTCTTGCTGTCATTGCATTTTCCCGGGAAACAAACAGAGCATACCCTATTTCCCCTGTTTTTCTAACCCTTCTTTTTACCCCAAGTCATTTAGCTGCATGGCTTATTTTATCTTCCCCCATTTTACATGTTCTCCAAGCCAACCAAATGTTATTTCCATACTTTTATCACATTATTGATATTTTTTTTTATATTTTATCTGGCAGGAGAGTCAATGCATCTCTATCAAGAAGGCACCTTATGTCAATTCAAGAGAAGGACCAATGCCAAACTGGAAACCCCATCGACGATTGCTGGAGATGCAACTCTAACTGGGCTAACAACCGCCAACGTTTAGCTGACTGCGCCATTGGATTTGGTCAAGGCTCGTTAGGTGGAAGAGGTGGTCAGATCTATGTGGTCACGGACTCCTCCGACTATGATCCAGCCAACCCAAAACCAGGCACATTACGTTACGGTGTCATCCAAGACCAACCTCTGTGGATCATCTTCTCTTCAAATATGGTCATCAAGCTCAAACATGAGCTTATTTTCAATAGTTACAAAACTATTGATGGCCGCGGCGCAAATGTTCACATTACAGGAAATGGGTGCATAACACTTCAATACGTATCACACATTATTATCCACAACATCCACGTTCACCACTGCAAGCCTTCTGGTAATACTAACATAGCAGCATCACCAACTCATGTTGGATGGAGAGGGAGATCAGACGGTGATGGCATTTCCATTTTTGGGGCCCAGAAGATTTGGATCGATCACTGTTCTTTATCTTACTGCACTGATGGTTTGATTGATGCTATAATGGGGTCCACCGGGATTACCATATCAAACAACCATTTCACCCACCATGATGAAGTGATGCTATTGGGGCATGATGATAAGTATGCATTGGACACAGGTATGCAAGTTACCATAGCCTTTAATCACTTTGGCCAAGGGCTGGTCCAACGTATGCCAAGGTGTAGAAGAGGGTATATACATGTGGTGAACAATGATTTTACAGCCTGGGAGATGTATGCTATCGGTGGTAGTGCGAATCCTACCATAAATAGTCAAGGGAATCGATATACCGCACCAACTGATGATAATGCCAAAGAGGTTAGTCTGCTCCGAGTTATTTCTCATCATTTAAGGTAGAATATATGATTGATTCATGATCGATTAAGTGAAGTTGATGGCAACATCCATGAAAAACAAGCTGTTACCCCCATAAAAATTAAATCTAAACCATTATCAGCATGAAAGTGATCTCTTTGGTGCCTGCCAGCCATTAAAATGCAGTACAAAATCCCCTGTGCATACTCCCACTCACATTTTCGGAACGTGGAGTGCAATCGCTGATGGTGACCTCATGAAATCTTTACAGGTAACAAAGAGGGTGGACACAAACGAGGGAGACTGGGCAGGTTGGAATTGGAGATCAGATGGGGACATAATGGTAAACGGAGCGTTCTTTGTGCCCTCAGGAGCCGGTCTGAGTACACAGTATAGTAAAGCCTCCAGTGTGGAACCAAAGTCTGCTGGTTTAATTCAACAACTCACCTTGAATGCTGGTGTCTTCGGTGACCCTAGGTAAACCTTACTAACTTGACCCCACTTTATGTTCTCTTTTTCAACTTTTTGAGCGCCTTTTGTCCGTATTACTGATATCAACTGAATTACCTGTTACTCTTAATTACCTTTCTCCTAATTAATTGCATTTTATTAGGTGTTGAAATAATTCCCTGTAGCGTCACTATTCCAGAAACTTACGTGCTGAAAGTTTTTCTGGGAAAATCTTTCGGTTTGATCAGTCTTGTTCTGTGTGGAGTGAATGAAAGTAGACATTTCGTAGTCTGATTTTTTGGTAATCCATGCCTAATCTTTGTCGAGGGAAAGCTTTCTGTGTTTTTATTGTTAGCTTAGCTTTGTGCTTACAAAGATGGCTTTTGGATCCAACCAAAAAATTTGATAGGAGTTTTTTGGTAGCATGGTTTTTTTAAATGTTTTTTTTAATATATTAAAATGATTTTTTATCGTATTTGTTTTTGGCAATATCACATCAAAATACTAAAAAAGTAAATATAAATTTATTTATTTATTTCATGCGAACCTCCATGCGCAAAAACAAACGCGTCTTGACAGCAAGAGTCCTCGCCTTTATAAAACACTTTTTGAACACTGGTGCACGTGATCATGCATTGCATTGGGAATCTAGCTAGTACCAACAAAAGCAGTCTTACAGTTCATTTGTTGGTCTCCACTCTCTCCTGTGCCTTTCCAGTACTGCTACTGCATGGCAAATAGGGTCTTCTATTATATAAGTTCCGTGCCTCTGCATTTTGGTTACCGTTGGATCTCATTGTATCTCGTGTTGGTGGACCCTCTTGGACTTGCTCGCTTTAGGGTTTAGGCCTAAAAACTTGGTTTCAGTCAATAGCTACCACTACTTCTTTGCTAGCATTTGTGGATCTTAGCCGAATGTGTGAATCGGGCACAAGATTTGTTGCATGTGATCCGCTACCGTGTCGCTGTTCTTTGCCCTCGAGCAGTATTATGAACTTCTTGTATGAGGGAACCCATGCTTGCATTACTGGAACCTGTAGCCCTTTGAGCCTGAGCTCACGTAAAGGGGCTTCTGGTAGGGATTTTTAATTAAACATGTACTCGAATAAACTCCGATTGCAATTTGTCTCCGGGAACTCTTAATTGTCCAGAAAATGAAACTGTTAATAGAAATTCTTCCCTGTCACTGCCATGTGGTAGTTTTAAGTTGCCATGTACCGTCTAGGCTTTATATGTCTGTGTCAATCAGAGGTGCCTAAATCGTGAAGAAAAATGAGCTTAGTTGCAAAGTCCGGCCTTTTCCTTTAGAGATAATTTTAGGTGACCCACACAGGGCAAAGGACATATGCTAGTGTGGTGGTGTGTTTCAGTGTTTTGTATGGGAAGGTGACGCAATTATGTTCTCTTGATCTGCTTTCCAGCAAATATGTATGGGGCCAAGTCCATGGCTTTCAACATGCTGTGGTTCCCACTTATTAATTGGTGGGGGTTTTAACTGGACATGGACATGTAGGTGTGCATCATCAGTATTGGAAAAGGAGCTTTCCTTGTGGCCTAGTTGCTTTGCATTTTCCTGATGCTTGACTTTTGCCCGTTAAGCTTCTCTAAATTTCCTCCTTACTTTCTCTGGTTCTCTATTACTCCATTTTTTTAAACATAAATAGGCTATCCTCTTTATGAGTTGTGTTCCCTTTCCCTTTGTTGCCGGAAAATGTAGCTGCAATTCAAACATGTCAAGAGAAGCTCTAGCTTAAGCCCCACAACCCCTTAATCTCACGTGAGACTCCACTCCAGTTCTAGTTTGTCTACTCCATAATAATTATCTGCTGTTGTTTTTCTAATGTCATGGGCGGTCGCTTCTGTTGTGGTTGTCCCATATAGACCTTCAACGGCCCAAACAGTCTCCACGTATACGACGTCCCCCACACCAACCCTTTTGGCCACCAAGCATTAGGGCCACCAATTTTTTAAACGCTTCTAATGTTAGATTCGTTAATAAGCATCATTTTCTATTGAATCATGTCATCATTTGATCTTCAAAATAATGTATTCACTAGTTGGTTTTCAATCATTTGCACAGAGATGACAGTGGGAGCATTTCTACTCCGGGATTCAGCGGAGGTGGGACTAGCTCTACAACCAACACCGGCGTCCAGGGGTCCGGGTCCAGCGGTGGTGATGGCGATTACTTCGGAATGATATTCGGGAGCGGTGCGCCACCACCAGCATCTACCAGCATAATCTTTTTGTCCCTTCTAATTATTTTAATTCTGTGCACCAGCACCGGCCATGTTGCCTTGGAATCTTTCCCATTATTATCATTATAGACGTCTAAATTTAAGGAGAGAAAAATTCATCATCAATATTAAAGATTTAAAGGGGACAATGTCATTACATCCAGTCGGATTCCATTGCAAGCCCTGTTGATTGCTACAATTGTATAGATATAACATCAAATTTTCACTAATACGAGCCCCGTCATATTGGGTCAAGATGAAGAATACAAACTATGCATGTGGATTAGTCCTTTCTTGCTCAGCTAAAGAAGTGACTGAAATAAAATTTTGGCGACGGATAGATAGGATATAGGTGGCTGAGGTGGCGTTTCGGATCTTTTGTCGAATATTTTTGCTATTTTTTTTTCCTTCTCTTTTCTTTTGTCGAGTCTTTTTATTTGCCATTGGTCTGTAATTTTCCTGAGTTAACAGGGACTGTCTTGTCGGAGAAACTTGCCAAACCGTCCTAGCAGATTTTATATGACTTTAAGAATCTCTATGTAAGAGAGAGAGAGACTTTACCGTCATAGAAATAGAAATATGAAAGTTGAATTTAAAAAGAAAATCATATCACCGCCGTCTGTGGGAATCGAACCCACGACCACATGGTTAAAAGCCATGCGCTCTACCAGCTGAGCTAAGACGGCAACTTGAATTGAGGGCAATACAAAAAATATGGAATATCTTTTGGTTCAAGCTTCTTAAAGCAAAGATTCAAGAAGTCCTTTACTAACGTGTCTACGAGTCCTTTTCAGGGCACCGTGACTAGTTTTCTAGCGAAAATAGCGAGATCCTTTTCAGGGCTCCCTCTTCTCTTGCTTCATGCATGAGTGCTTGCTTTGCAGATTTGTATCATTCAGGCGTTCTTCATTCATGTTTATCATTGGGACTTGTATTAGCAATGCTATGTGCTAAGTGCAATCAAAGAGGCCGGTTTATGGAAACATTGGCGGATCCGAGATATGCATTGTGGATTCACATGCAAGCCTGGGAGGCAGATTCCGTCCCTGCATCATCCATAAATGAAGATTAAGCTCACCGAGTTTCTTTAAGAATGAAGCTCGCCACGCATGTTGATTTATTTCCTTCACACAACCTGTTTTATCATCTGTTCAACATAAGCATTCAAAAAATTGATTCCACTGCTTTCTGTTGAGTCTATTGAAGTGGACAAAGCGGAACGCTTCATAAAAACATGGATACCCATGCAATTTCACCTACAAAGGCATTTTCTGGCACTAGGATTAGCATCTTGACATACAAACTAATATATAAATAATGCGCGCGTACAGGATAACATAACTATGCACATACTGCCATAAACTAGAAACCATCTCCATGATCAATGCTCCAAGAGCAGCTTCTTTTCGGGAGTACCATGATTCAAAATGCCTCAAGGAAACATACATGAATTATTGGACACTGGTGCAGAGTTTCAAGAGGTGTTGGATCCTTCCTAGTGGTGAATAAGTTACCACATACAGAACCGTTAATCTTCAAAAAATAAGTAACATTGCTAGTTTGCAAAGCAATTACCACCCTCCTATGGAACTTCCATCATTCTCTTTGTTTCCCCAAGAACTTAATGATGCTTTACCCCATGTATCAGTTTGTTCCCCACTTGCATTAGCTCCTTTTGCCTCTGTTGATTGACTCCAACTAGATGATTGACCTCCAACAGAAGCACTGGATGGATTCCAGGTCTTGGCATCACCTCCAGTTGCCCCTGCACTTCCCAAACATGCTCCTTTGTTCCCCCAGCCACTCCCTCGATCATCAGAACCTTATATGTCTATGCTTGATTGATTCCAAGAATTTGTCGATGCTTTACCCCATGGACCGGTTGGTTCTCCACCAGCACTAGTTCCTTCCTTTACCTCCATTGATTGACTCCAGCCAGATGATTGGCCTCCGCCAGAAGCACTTGATTGATTCCAGTCTAGCACTTGATTGATTCCAGGACTTAGCATCACCTCCAGTGTCCCTGCATCTCCTGCACCAGCTCCTTTGTTCCCCCAGCCATCACCTGGAACACAAGAACCAGATCCTTTGTTCCAGCCACTTCCTTGATCATCAGAACCTTTAATTTCTTTGTTTGAATTCCAGTCCCCACCAGAAGAATTTGATGACTTCCAGCTGTTTCCTTGACCCCAGGCAGCATCAATATTTGCACCAGTTCCCTTGTTCCAACCACCAGCAAGGTCATTACTACAACTATCTTTGGCCATTCTTGACTGGTTCCAGTCTGAATCTTGGCTGCTCCAACAACCAGCTCGATGGCTTGTTCCACCACCACCAGAATTCCAGCTATTATGTTGGCTCTTATTATCACCTCCTTGGTTCCAACTGCTTCCACCACCATTATTTTTCCATCCTCCACTTCTATTGTTTGCCCCATTCTTCCAACCAAAGGTTCTATCTTCAGCAGAACCGTTGTCACTCCAACCACCATTTTGATCTCTCCTTCCTCTGCCTCTACCACCAAAGCCGCCTCTGTCCCCTCTACCTCTAGAGCCCCCTCGGTCTAAACCACCTCTAACTCCAAATCCACCCCCGTCAGATTTGCCTCTACCTCCATAACCTCCTCTGTCCGAACCATTTCTACCTCCAAATTTATATCTATTTTACCATTGGAAAATAATGCAAGAAACCACCATTAACCTTAAAGACCCGAAACAAAACAAACAAAATTCTAAACTATATTATTACAGGCAGAGGATATCAGCTCTGCTATTTAAAAGTCTCCTTACAAATTTTTGTGCCAACACTTGAAAATCAATTCTTGGAATCAGCTTCACTGTTGCTTTTTTCCGCACATCATTTACAGCCACAATCTACAGAAACAAAATTAATTCAGAGCGAAGACAGATTCAATTTCAGAACAAAGCGAGGAATCAGCTAACAAGCTCATTCGCACTGCACCTGCACCAGGTCACCCTTATAGTTCCCATTCTTTACAAGAGCCCATGTGCCCTCAGTAACTTGATTACAACCTCTCCGGATGGAGATCAGATGAGACACTTCATTTTTAGGAACTGTGCCACTCTGCTAGAATATATGCAGCAAAGCCCTTTACATGCCTAAGATCAGAATTATTAGAACAATATTAGTTTACTGGAAAAAACATTCTAAAAAGGATAAATTCCTCATTGCTTATTCGATGCAAAAAAATGTGCCTTGCCTCAATAACATCAATTTGCTTGCCAGCTTCAATATAAAGAAAACCCTTTACATGGTCAATGGCAAATGCAGATATTATCTGAAGTTTGGTATCCAGAGATTTCAAGTCAACAAACTTCTGCATGAGGCAAAAAGCTGAATGCCTCTCGCGTCCAACCTACAACCAAGAAGTCAGTCAAATAAAACATGTAAAGGCAATGGCAGGAGAATGTTAAGGAATGCAATTCAAAATACAATGGCAAGAACCAAACTATTTGCCTATATAATGAACATCCTACCATGCATTTGACTTCCCAGACAGTTGGGTCCTTTGCAGAAGGCTCGAGAAAATTTCTTTCCATGGATCTTTTAGCTTCATCAGCATCTTCGGCATAGCAAAATCTAGGATTGTTCTTGTAACGCTCTTCAATCATCTTATCAAATTCTTGCTCATCCATATCCTCCTCTTTGGGAACAATTGGAACATTTTAGGATATTGGTGGATCATTCTTGACTTTCAACTCTACACCATATTCTTCATCCATAAAATCTGTTCTCCACAATTAAGAGAAGATTAAAGTTAGTAAAATATGCTTTCCTGATCCAAAGCAGAAAAGCAAGGTAAACTGAATGATATTGTATCATTGGAAATGGAAAAGGAACATGGTACAAGTATGACCCCCCAAAAAGGTGACACAACTACTCATTTTACGCACACAAATCTCAAAATGAACCTCCGCAATGCAAAACAAATCCTAACTGCTTCCATCTTTCCATTGGATTTTCTGTAATATTGATTCCTAAATCCTATCTCTTTAAATTTTCCAGTGGATCTGTGGCAAAATCAAGCAAATCCGTTTAAGTTCCAACAAGTAAATACTCCGGTATCCTCAATGAACATTTTTACAACTACACGGACCAATTTGCACAGACAACTTTTTAAAAACACAGGCACTTTCCATTTTCTGTGAGCAGGTAAAAAGCACCCATATATTTCATATTTTACATAAACACTCTATTTTAACCTTAAAGCAACATCACTTTCATATAAGACCAATAAGACAAGTAACAAAGAATAAAGGTGAAACACCCCATTATACCATCTCAGAATTGTAACAACAACACACGTTTCCACTCAAAACCCTAAACCTTACCTGAAAAATTAAAACTCAAACAAAGATTATCTAAAATTCAACATGCACCGCCATAAAAAAACACATTAAGCCACCAAGTGCCAGTCTCATTTTCAGTCAAAACCCTAAAATGTCAAACTTTACCAATCAAAATTCAAAAACCTTAAAAACGCCACCGCTTTACCAGCTCAAGACCCCAGGAGAGTCGAACATAAAAATAAGCCGAAATGAGAATTTTTTTTAAACCTTAAATGTCGAAATTAAGATCACTATCATCACTGTCGCGATCACTAAAATCAGCTGCATCTTCGAAGAACCGCGCGATTCCTCTTCTTATTTCCACCACCAGTCTTATCGTCATCACCACCACTGCCACGTTTCCGTTCTCCTCCGCCGGAAGCAACGGCCTTACCCTTCCCATTCGACGACATTTTGCCGTGACAATGTCAAGGAGTCAGGGTTTTGTCTTTATTTTTTCGTTTTAAGAAAAACAAATACGGAGAAAAAGATTTGCATAGAAGAAAGAAAAACAGAGAGACTGTTTGGGTTCTGTATACAACGTACAAGCGTGTCTGGTGTGAGTGAGGGTCACTGAGCTCCGGCAGTTATAATTGTTGGAAGGAATATTTATTGATTTACACTAGTGACCTTCCTTTCAGGGATGGTATTCATTTTTTTTGACCTTTTTGCATGGGCAAAATAGGAATAAAAATGAGTGACCAGTTAGCTAGATGTCTTAAAATTTGAAACAGGTCTATTCATGGCTGATCGTCACAAGAGTTTGTTTTTGTGTAGAAAGAGTGATTTTAAAAGTTTGTGAATTTTTTAAAATTTATTTTGATATATTAAAATTAAAAATTATTTTTTA